AGCTCAAGGCTAGCGCTCTACCACTTGAGCCACAGCGCCACTTCCAGCTTTTTTTTTTTTGCTTATGTGGTGCTGAGGAATCGAACCCAGGTCCTCAGGCATGCAAGGCAAGCGCTCTATCACTTGAGCCACCTTCCTAGCCCTGGACTCGATCTTTCTGAAAAGCAGGCCGGTAGTTAGGTTTGCAGAGCAAGCCTGCTATCTGCGCCATGACAGAGAAGCCTGTGTCAGGAATTTCACCCGAGCTGGACTGCACAGAGCCGCTCAGCTCGGTTTGTGTCCCAGCTCCCTGGCGTGGTGCTCCTCCTCAATTCGCACGTGGTCCCCCATTCCGGGTGGGGTGCTGTTTGGAGGGTGAAGCTTTGGGGAAATAGTGGTCAGGAACTGAATTAGTTAGACGATGAATTGAGCGGGTGCCCTCATAAGAAGAGCAGGTGCAAGACAGATCAGAGTAGGAGGTGACCCTGGTCAGCACCCAATCAGCTGGCACCTTAACACCCCCCGCCCCAGCCCCCGGGGCTTACCAGCTACTGGATCTGTGTCAACACCAGCAGAGGGATCCAAATGATGGCCAGGTCTGACTTCGGGGAGTGCTGAAGGTTTGATAAGGCAGAGAGGAGTTCCCCCTGTTCTAAGATCTTTCCGTTTCCCATGACCACTTGGGGGATGGGGTTTGGCTGGACCAACTGGACACTATGGGAAGAAGACCGGGTTGTTCGCAGGAGCTGCGTGGGGTTTTGTTTTTGATTCCTTTCTCCCTGTTGCTGGTTTGAATGAAGGTTTCTGACAAGATTCTGAGCCGGGCGCCGGTGGCTCACGCCCGTCACCCTAGCTACTCGGGAGGCTGAGGTCTGAGGATCGCGGTTCAAAGTCCGTGAGACCCTGATCTCCAATAAACCACCAGAAAACCGGAAGTGGCGCTGTGGCCCAAGCGGTAGAGCGCCCGCCTTGAGCTGAAGAGCTGAGGGACAGCGCCCAGGCCCAGAGTTCAAGCCCCACGACCAACACATAAATCAATAAAGAGTCTGTTCTCTGTCAGGTGAGGTTGACAGAGTTCTCTCCAGAGACCTTTACCTAAGGGTGGTGTATGTAGAGGTGGGGGATGAAGTTTCAGAAACTTCCAGATGAAGAACCTAGACCACAAAGTCAAGTCTCCTGTGGATGTGCCCCGGTGAGAGCCCGTGGCCATGGGTCCCTTGTCGTGTTGAATACAGACGTTAGAGAAGGTAGTCCACGTCCCACCGAGCGCTCAGCGGGGAGTGGAGCATCCTCGGCACAGCCGCGTCTCCAGCGGAATCTCTGCTGCGGCCTGGCTGCGCAGCCCCGTCCGGGGATTACTGATCCCCTTTGTACCAGGTAGAAATGGGCCTTTCACCAGTCAACCCAGCAGGCCCTGCCTGTCCAGGGGTTCAGAATAAACTAATGGCTCTAAGGTTGAAGGATAACAGACGCTCTTTCTTCTTTGCCAGTTTTCCCTGTTTGTCTCTCCTGCCTGTCTGAGGAGGGTCACTTAGTTTAAGCTCAGATATGTTTACTTGTGTAGAAGCATATACTTGTATGTAAGTATATATAAATATAGAAGCATATATATATATGTATATATAATAGGGCTGGGAAGGTGGCTCAATGGTAGAGCGCTTGCCTTGCATGCATGAGGCCCTGTGCTTGATTCCTCAGCACCACATAAGCAGAAAAACCTGGAAGTGGTGCTATGGTTCACGTGGTAGAGTACTAACCTTGAACTGAAGCGCTGAGGGACAGCGCCCAGGCCCAGAGTTCAGGCCCTATGACTGACAAAAATAATAATAATACTAGCAATAACAGTATAATTTATATTATATAATATATTAATATGCTTATTATATATTATATGAAATATATAAGCATATATATTTATATATACTTACATATAAATATATAGTATAATAAATATATAAACATAAAAGCATATATAAGTATATGATATATAAATATATAGTTATATGTGAATATATATTTATGAATCTATTTATATAATGCATATGTTGTATTTATATAAGAATAATATATAATTACATATTATATTTATATATTAAATACATATATAGGGGCTGGGAATGTGGCTCAGTGGTAGAGCGCTTGCCTTGCATGCCTGAGGCCCTGGGTTCGATTCCTCAGCACCACATAAGAAAAAAGAAAAAAGCCGGAAGTGGCGCTGTGGCTCAAGTGGTAGAGCGCCAGCCTTGAGCTGAAGAGCTGAGGGACAGTGCCCAGGCCCAGAGTTCAGGCCCCACGACCAGACCCCCAAAAAAATAAATACATATATACTTACTTCTTCAGGGTCTTAGAACTTAAGCCCACCTCCGGGTGATACACAGAAAGAGGAGAAACAATCTTTGTGTCATTTGCTGTCATACCTCAAGCGAGTCGCTGGGCTTGGATTTCCATAGCTGGGGAGGTCCGTTGTCTCCGTTGGAATGGTCGTCCGGGAGAGCGCGCTGGTTGATATTACCCGGGCTCGCTCCTCCTGGGTTTGCGGTTGGGAAGTGCGGGGTGGGGTCGCGGCTGGGCTGCGCGTCATTGGGTAGAGAGCCAGCTGGGTCAGCCGAGCTGACTGGAGCCGTGAGGCCCGTGAGCCAGGAGAGGAACGTGAGTGGGAGCCCACAGGCGGGGCTGGCTTCCCAGACCGGGGAGGCCCACTGAGTCATGGAACACACCGGTCTCCAGCCTGAGCGGTGGCTGACGCTCTGGGTGTCTGTTTTGCTTCCAGTTGTTTGAGTTTATGAACTTCCTGGCTGAGAACGTCATCTTCTGCTACATGGGCCTGGCGCTGTTCACCTTCCAGAACCACACCTTCAACGCGCTGTTTATCCTCGGAGCCTTTGTATCCTTTGAAATAGGGAACGGGCGCGATCATTCTAGAGAGCCAACCTCTGACTGTTCGTTCTCCTGAGTTCACTGCAGGATTCAGACCAGAGGTGTCATTTCCAGTGAGAGGGGGAATAAAAAGCATCCTAAGATAGCAGGGACTCGATGAAACATTTGTGGTGTAGGGTAAGAAGTCTAGAAAATGCTCTGGGGAGTCGAGGAGGGGGACATCTGAAGAAAAATGACTTTTTCAAGTATTCAAACTATGCCTAGCTAAAAAAAATATTAATCATTTATAGATGTATAAATCATGTATATGTCCAGGTATGTGTATAGAAAAAAAAATACATTCACTTTGAATTAGAGCCGAGCTGAAGGCTTAGCGAGAATTTTACACTCTAGAGATGTTTGCATGACGTGGTAATAAAATCCTTTTGTTAGAAAAAAAAAAAAGTAAAAGTAGCCAGGCGCCGGTGGCTCACAGCTCACCTCTAATCCTAGCTACTCAGGACGCTGAGACCTGAGGATCACGGGAAAATCCCCATGAGACTCTTATCTCCAGTGAACCACTCAAACAAACGGAAGTGGCACTGTGGCTCAAGTGGTAGAGCGCCAGCCTTGAGCACAAAGAGGCTTGGGGACAGTGCCCAGGCCCTGAGTTCAAGCCCCACCAAGGTCTTGCTTGGAATCCAGAGGCCCCTCCTGGCTACAGGCTGGGGTGGGAGCCGTTCCCAGGGGGGCAGGTATTTGTCAGGCAGGGTGCCAGGCCAAGGGACACATTCCTAAAAGCAGTCGGGCCGGCCAGCCTCGTTTTCCCACTTGGAAGGGGGTCCCTGGCAGAGGAGCTCACGAAAGTGAACCTCTCTCTTGTGAGCGTCTGCCTGTCTCCGTCTTGTCTCATGAAGCGTTCAGCTGAACTCTCGAATTTCACCTACACCCCGAATCTTCCAAGAAAGCTCCCCGGTCTCACCCCACCACCCCCTTCTGTGAGGACAAAGTAGAAGACACAGACATCCCAGGGACAGAGACGAGGACAACAGAGGAGGAGAGACACCCAGGGCCAGTATCCTCGTGGATTCTTACTTGGCTTTTAGTGAGATGTGTCTCAAAGCTGTTGCCCTACGTATTCAGATCGATGCTCCCTTCCCAGAAAAGACAGAGTAACAGACACATCGACTAGCCGCACTGGGGAGCAGGGCATGGGGGGGGCTCCTGCCCCTCCCCACTTTTGTCCCCCAATTCTGGCTTCCACAGAGTCCAGGGTAGAGTCCATCATGAGCCCCAGAGAGGCGTCCAGACGCCTGGTCCTGGGCTCATGACCTGAAATCAAGTGACGCGAACTGGCAGACTTCCCGCCCCCCCCCCTTGTTTTCTGGGTCACCGTGCAGAGACACGTGGTCAGCACGGGGCGGTGACCCTCGCTCCGCCTCCGTGTTTTCCTCAGCGCGTCTGTCTTTAGCTCGCTATCTTCGTGGCCAGGGCCTGCAACATCTACCCGCTGTCCTTCCTCCTGAACCTGGGCCGGAAGGACAAGATTCCCTGGAACTTCCAGCACATGATGATGTTCTCAGGTGCGGTGCTGGCGCGGCCGGGCTGCGGTCCGCCATTGCTGTCGGGAATGGTGTGGGGCACGGTGGGGAAGCTGGGAGAGCCTGGAAAATCCAAGTCCTCTGGGTGGCAATTACACACACACACACACACACACACACGCGCGCTAGATCTTTCCAAAGCGGGAAATGAAATTCAAGGGAACTTGTGTAACTGGTGCCAGCCTTGTCGCAGGGCTAACGGTCCGCATAGAATCCTCCCCCGTTTGGGACACTTCGCATGGTCCCCATAGCGGCTCATCTGGCCCACAATGCCTTGTGGGGGACGGTGTTGATGGAGACCCAGCAGGTGCCTGAAATGCGTTCTAGTCGGAGCCAGTGAGCTCCCCGCTCCCAAGTAGGTCCTGTGTCTCCCCACTAACTGATGTCCTTCCCGCTCAACCCCAGGCGCCTCCGAGAGGAAAGCAAACCCAACGAGCCTGCGCCGACCGTTCACCAACCCTGGCGAGGGCCGTTGCTTTTGAGATCATCCATTTTCCTGCCACCAGCCTTTTCCCTGCGGGGAGACATAGTTCAGAGGCCGCGGTTGCTCTGTGCGTGCGTTCTGCGTGCGTTCACAACACAAACAAAGGCACCTGGGTGGAGAACAAATGATAATGATAAACCAACGTCATCCGGGGCACATCGAGATGTGTGGGAAAAAGTGAGGGACGCTAATGTCACTGCGTGCTGTTTGCAGCTCAGGAAGCGAATCAACACCAGTCACAGGTGGACGAACAGGTTCAGGATCTCTAAGGGTTCGAGAGAGAGAGTGTGTGTGTGCGTGTGCATGCGTGTGTGTAAATCCATTGAGTTTTAACTTAAACCCTGGCCTATAGTCTAACCTGGGAGACGTTCCCTGCGCATTACCTATGGTGCTGTGTTGTGTGTTTCCAATGTGTCCATTGGTTCTGCTTGTCTGGGAATTCTTGCCTTTGCTGTTCCTGGGGCTTGAACTCTAAGCTTGGGCGCTGTCTCTGAACTCCTTTTTGCTCAAGGCTACGGCTCCCTTTCTGGCTCTTTCTATGATTCGTGGGAGGTAAGCGTCTCAGGGCTTGGGTCGACTTGTTTTCATGTGTCTCTGTTAACCTGCTTCTCTTCTGTCTGGGTATCTTAGCCATCACTGAGCATGGGGGATGTGCGTCTCGCTCATTGCAGTGTTATCTGTTTCTCCTTCAACGCGGTTGGGTTTTACTTCATATATTAAATATATTTGAGGGTCTGCCATCTAGGCGTACAAATGCTTGTGCTTGTCATATCTTCTATTGGGAGCTTGATTGCCACCATCTGTCTGTGATGCCCATTTTTAACCCTTGTACCCTTTTTTGTTTAAAATCTATTTTGTCTGCTATTTGCATAGCCTCTCCTCTTTGGGCTCCGATTTGCACAGAACTATCTTTTCCATACTTTCAGACAGTGTCTTTGGATCTCCAATGAGTCTTGTCAACAGCAGAGAGTTGGATATGTGTGGGTTCTTTTTTTTTTTTTAAGTCCATTCTTCTAATCCCAGTCTTTTGATTAGTTTCACACAGTGCATCTCAGGTCGATTACTTTTGGTCTGCACCGCCGTGATCAGAACCAGCTACCGGTAACCAGAGCACCTGGTTACTCAGTTGTATTATTTATAGGGCAGAGTCCTTTTTGCCTCCTGGCTTCTACACACTAGAGGCTCACAGCTCCAAGTTGCTTCCTGCCCTGTTCTGAGAGCTGCTGTACTAAACTGACCCAGATTAATGGTGATTTAGTGTCCAAGGCCTCCCCGGGAGTTTGCAAACCTTCCATAGCTTCCAGAACTCCAAGACAATCACATTAAATAGATCCTTCCAGGAAAATGGCTGTCCAGGTAGGAAAACAGATTCCTGGAGTTGTCTCAGGATCCTTTGAAGGGTGCAATTTTACACGTGATTTAAAAAAAGTAAAGCACAGAGAGGTTGTGTATCTAGCTTGCCATCTCACAGCCTCCTGAGAGGAGAAATTGGGGGGCCTCTTTAGAATCTTTGCCTCTGCAGGATAATACCTCGGCATCTCCTTGCGGTCAGGAGAACAGAAGTTAAATTCAAACCACGTCCTCCCAAACCCAGGCCAACCCCAGCCTGCCTAGCGCGTGCCTTGGGCAGACCCCGCAGCCCCTCCCAGCCACGCCGGCCCCTCCCTGCAGGATGAGCAAAGGCCCGGGAGAGGAGATTTATTCAGACTGTATGCCTACGTAGACAGGGAGCTGGACGCAGAGGGGAGAGGTTCACGTAGCTGACAGAGTCCCAGTGGCTCCGGCCTGTCATCCCAGCTCCTGCGGAGGCTGAGCTCTGAGGCTCCCAGCATGCCGTGCAGCCAGCACACAGTGGTCTCCCCGCAGAAGCCATTTGTTTGAGACAGGCAGACAGTGCGGGACCTTGGTTGCCAGGGCTGTAGGTAGAACTTTCTACGGTTACCAGGGGTGCTTTCCAAGGCTAGCCCGTGAATCCACCTGCCCACAGACCGATTGCTCATGGATAACATTGCTTATCACAACAACAACAACGAAAAGAATCCTTGCTCTGAACTCAGGTTTTCTCAACTCAAGAGACGATTGCCGTCCGAAGCCAGATCAGTCCTTGTGAGGGCGCATCATAGACTTGGAAGCGCGTGCGTTCAATGGCCTCTGGAACGGGACCCCTCACCAGCCCAGCCTTGGAGAAAGCCACGCACGTGTCCAGACCCCGCCATCCATTCCCTCTGACGGTGAAGCGCTCCCCCTGGGAGCCACCGTCTATAAAATGGGAAGTTCAAGTTGACCTTGGGGAGCCCAGCCTCCCAGAAGGCTGAGCCTCTCTTGATCGTTCTTAGCCTTTCTCTAAAATACAGCCTCTCTCTGCATCCACCACTCCGGCAGTGAATCACAACATCCGTCTCCCCTGCCTGAAAAAGAAACTTCCAGAGCCAGAGGTGTCCGTGCCTGCTGGTTTCAGAGCCATTATTTACCATTACCCCTTCCTGGCTGCCCAGGGCTTCCAAAAACAAACTTCATCTCGTGTAAATAGACCAGAAGAAGCGTGCGTCACACCGCCTCCCAGCAGCCTGGATGGAATCATTTGAGTTTAAGAGGAGAGATGAAGGAAAGAGAGTTCAGCTTAACCCAGACTTTGTTTCCAGAAAAACCTTGATTTTTTTTTGAATGCAGGGATTCCCCCCCCCCCGAAGACACCCTGTTGGCCTCACTTCCCTGTGATAAAACAATGGGGAACCGAGACCGGAACCGCATGCGTGGTAAAGCCACGCTCTCGGGGAAAATGTATTTTGAAACCAGCCTGACATTTTTGCTGAAAGTCCTGGCCCTGTGTAAGATCATGAGGCTTGAGCAAGGGGAAAGACAATACATAATTCAGTTCTCGACCCATACCAGGCTTTGATCTCTCAGACTGATGATAAGGATGTGTTACATCTTTGAAATCAACCCTCTTCATGGTACTTGGAATGAAAGAGAAAAAGACGGCACTGGATTTATACTCCAAAAGGAAAGACAGATAGATAGCAGAATAACTCATCTTGAAGGACAATCCTTGTCAAGGACAAGATTTCGTTTCTTGAGGACATTTCTACGTCCCTGCCCATCTGCTGGCCGTTTCCTGGTGGGCACCAGTCTCGCTTTCAAATGCAAACACGACCTTTCCTTCATCTCTCCACTCAGGGAAGAAGGCAGGGAGTTCTTGCTTCCCATGCATGTTGTAAGTCTGCCCTTTAACACAGCCACCTCCGTCCCATCCTGAGTCACCTGCATTCCTTCTTGGATGAAGATTCCCACACAGGCTTAGAGTCTGGCCCTATTTTCTTTTTCTTGAACCATAAATAAGAACACCCTAAGACTCACTGCAGCTATAGATAGCTGACCTGCGCCCCTTCCGAGCCCGGATGGCACACATGTAATTGATTAAAAGCTCCGCTCTTGCTCTTTCAAGATAAACAGGAAGATGCGCATTTTCCTCCAGCAGGAGTGCTTGCTAGAAAGCCTTCCCTGGCTGGCCAGCCTTCCATTGTTGTGAACAGAACATCAACGTCATTAGCATAAGAATCCCTTAGAGGCTAATTTTAAATGAAGCCATATTTAATTCTAGGTTGTTCTTCTATTTCCTGAGATGCGAAGTCTCCCACTGGGCATGTGGAATTTGTCAAAAAAAAATCTCTACAGAGTGAACCTATTTAAAAAATGAAATGGTGCCAACCTCCAACTTCCCCAATGTATAAAACTATTTTGATTCCTGGGCCAAAACAAAGAGAGAAGAAAAAAAAAAAGATAAACCAAGAGGAGGTCACAAAGGACTCAAGAAAGAAAAAGAAAAAGACAAATTTCCATGAGTTTTTCTAAACAAAACAGTGTGTGTCCTTTGGAAACCATGTTTTTGCCAGAAGGAAAACCCTAGATCAATATTAATTTTTCATTACTTAGTATTTCACTGGTAGCCTAAGTGATTTGTTTCAAGTCTGAAATCCCCGGAGGTCTGAGACCAGGAGGCTGCGGCACACACGGTGTGCCCCCAGTATCCAATCAGGGTGATGGATACGTTGGAATTAACTGAGGGGCCGTTGACCCCATATTTGCACGGGCTCCAAATGTGTGCAGTCACTAGGAGAGTCAGGAAAGTCTCTGGAGTTCTACATGGCTTCGCTTTCCCGCCTGCCCTGTTCCCAGGCCTAGGCTTTGAGTGTACCCGCCTGGCCATCCACCCGGGGATGCGGGCGCTGAGAAGCAACGGGCTGTGGGCAGCCCTGGGCTTTTCTAGGAAACCCCTGACCCTGGCCCTTCTAGGAAGTCATTCTATTCAGTTGTTATTTCTGGTCCTCATGGATGGGGAGGGGTTTTGACCCTAATCAGCAGTGCTTGAACCCACCACAAAGCCACAGCTGTACTTCTTCTTTCTCAGAAATCTCTACGTTGTAGCTCTTACAGAGTTTCTAACATTTCTATTTAATTTTTAGAAGGCAAGATTAGCAGATATACTTTGAGTAGGAGTCTATACATATGTGCACACAGCTGTATATGCATATAGGTATAGCTGTATGCATTTCCCTGGTTGTGTGCATCTATATTGAGTATGTATGTGTTTATAGATACACACACGTGCTTCTGCTTACACTTTTTCTTTTATAGCTTCTCCCTATGTAGTCCAAGCTAGCCTCGACTTCTCTGGGTAGCTCTTGCTGGCCTCCAACTCTCGATCCTCCACCCTCAATCTCCAGAGCCCTTGGATTACAGGCAGATGCCACCAGACTCACCCGCTGGGGTGAGCCCACTTTTAAAACCCAGAACCGCTCGTGTCTGGCTAATTTAGATTTACGAGCCTTGCCACACTGGCTTCACATGATGATAATACATTATTAAACATCCTTAGGAAGATTAATGCTTGCTTGCTAGCCTGCCCTTGGTAGCCAGCCTGAAAGAGTTTACAGCAAGCATGAGACAGCAAGTTATCATTTGTACTGGTTTTTCATCGCACAAAAACTTCTTTAAAAAAAAAGAAAAACAGACCTACAAATATTCATACGAGGAAAAAAATGAAGACGTGGTGACTTATCTTCTCATCTGGGTTTAGGCTGCTTTCTGGATATTTCAGCCATCTGAACTTGAGGAAAAGAGAGAGATGCAAAGGTCGTGGTTTTCTATCCCCAGGCTTGCCCTGTGATTGAACACTGCCAGGAGCTTTAACCTTCACAGACAGAAATCTGTCCTAAGACATTCTCATCCCCTGATGATAGTGTTTGTCCTTCCTGGAGAGAAATTATGAACCCCGCAGGAGAGCGGGTCATTAATAACCCCGCCTCTTGTGGCCAGCCAGGTCTGTACACGCGAACATCTCCCCCAGGCCCCGATCTTGTACAGCCGCACCACAAGTGTGTCTGATGTATGGGAATGCTTTTTATTCATGTCTCCTTCAAATGTTATCTTCCTTATCTGCCGGCCATTTCCTTGTCTGCTCAGAGACTTAGAATAATTTCCTTCCTCCCTTACATTTTGTTCCTCGAAGGTATTTTGTAATCAGAGTACTTGGGACCCCTACTTCCCACTTCCTCCTCTGGGGAAATGTATTCAATCTCTCCGGTCTACCACGCCACATTTTGTCTCTTGTCTGTCCTCAATGAGAAGAAGAGAGTAGTATATCTAGTTTGAAATACTGAATTTAAAAAAAAAAAAAAAGAGGGTTGTGATTTTATTCATCCTACTTTCTATCTTTTTTTTTTTCCTTTTTGGCCAGCCCTGGGACTCGAACTCAGGGCCTGGGCGCTGTGCCTGAGCTCATGCTCTAAATTAAAGCCACAGATCCACTTCCAGCTTTTTGGTGGTTCTTTGGAGATAAGAGTCCCATAGAATGCTCTTCCCAGGCTGGCTTTGAACCACGATCTTCAGATCTCAGCCTCCCGAGTGGCTAAGATGACAGGCGTGAGCCGCCGGCGCCCAGCTTTTATATCTAATTTTTAAATATATGAATGACAATTTGGAAACCTAGCATTCTACTAAATAGGATCAGAACTGGCTTACTGAAATTGTATGTGTTTGACTCGAATTATTCTACCGGGACCGTCAGATCCCTGCCTCTTCGCCTTTCATTGTTACCCCTGTAGCACAAAGACCGTGAAAGTCCTGAGTCACCCCCACCCCCACCCGGAGGCCTTCCGAGCCGCCAGCCGCCGTGTCTCCTTTCGCACCAGAATTCCCATTTACTCTTCTTCGAGTCTGCATTTCCATTTTTGTTAATATCATCCCACTTTGAAGTTCTAGCACTTAACCTTTAGTGTCTCTTCAAGAATATTTAATATGGATTTATACAAATTCAATTAGCATATTGTTATTAAAGGAGAACAGATAAAACCAGAAAGAAAAAAAAAAAACCCTGATGCAGAAACTCTGGGTGATTTTTTTTTTTTTTTTACTGTTGGTGGGAATGTAAAATGGCTCAGCCACTTCAGAATATGGGTTGATAATTTCTTTAAAACTAATTTCTCGAAAAACTAAACATAGGAATATTGAAGTGCTCTGTGATTGCACTCCCGGGTATTATCTCAGAGAAATCGTGCAAAAAAAAACATTATGCAGATCTTAGCAGCCTAATTTGTGGCCAGCAGAAACTGTAACACTCCACATACCCTTCCCTCGGTGGGTAGTTAAACAAACATCCACACTATGAGAAAGAGCCAGGCCTACTAACACACAGCCATAACCTCAGCCCCTTGGGAGTTAGAAAGTAGGAGGATCACAGGTCAAGGCCAGCAGCCTGGGCAAGAAGTTAATAAGGTACCCATCTCAAACCGCCATCCGGGGTTGGGGGTCATACCTGTAATCCCAGCTCCTTTGGAGGCAGAAGTAGAAGTATGCTGGTCTAAACCTATCCCCAGACAACCACAAGAGACCCTACCTGAAAAATAAAGTTAAAAAGAAAGGCAGGGGGCATGGGTCAAGTCCTAGAGCACTTGTCTAGCAAGGGCAAGGCCTTGAGTTCAAACCCCGTACAGCCAAGAATATAAAAAGATCGAAAGGAATAGACCCTTGGTGCGTTCAGCATCTTGCATATCTGGGGAATTATGCAGGGGAGTGGAAGGAGAGAGGCTGCCAACTTCCAATACATCCGTTGGTACAAAGGCCGTGGACTAGAAATGGCGGCATCCCTGGTTGTGGGGAGCGAAGGAGGGGCCGTGTGGGAGGGAAGCGTGGAACTGTCACGCGACCAGAGGAGGGAATATGTTCAGGAACCGGCCTGCGTCCGTGTCGTCATTCCGACGGAGACCCTGTGATGCCTTCATTAGGGGAAACTGAGGAAAGGTTCCCCGGCATCTCTCCCTATTATCGCTGATACCACTGCAAAGATCCCCAACAAACAAACCAAAACGTAATAGCACAGAACAATCTGCCAGCAGGAGGAGGCTGAGCAAGGCACTTACTTCTCTCCCTCCCTCTCCCCTCCCCAAGGCCTGCGTGGAGCCATCGCGTTTGCTCTGGCTATCCGGAACACGGAGTCGCAGCCCAAGCAGATGATGTTCACCACGGCCCTGCTGCTCGTGTTCTTCACCGTGTGGGTGTTCGGAGGAGGGACGACCCCCATGCTGACCTGGCTTCGGATCAGGTGAGCGAGCGAGCGAGCGAGCAGCAGCAGGTACTGCAGACACCCGCGGCCAGACACACAGGGAGACGTCGGTTGTCTAGAACCTGCGCTGCAGGCAGAGCAGACAAGGAGACAGTAGCACATGGCTGGTACTTGCTGGGAAACCGGGTGGTTCTGTGTGTCCTTGTGCGCGCTCTGTGAGCGAGGGCCTCGTTTTCATCTTGCAGAAGTCAGTGTAGGCCAGCCACGTTTCCTCAAACCCACGCGGGTGGATCACGGTGGGTGCAGGCTCTCTCCTTTCCCCGAGACAAACCCGTCTCCCACCACGTGCTTCCGACAGGAAAACACCATCAACTGCCAGAGGGGGTCTCAGACAAGGCCTGTTGTCAAGAGATAGTAGCTGGTGTAGATAAGTAGACGGAGTAGATAAATGAGGGTAGCCACCCACATACACGCTTTTAATTCTCTCTCTATCCATTTGACCAAGCAAAAGCAGAAGCGAGCCTCATACATTGACCCTAAGGAAGTTCATGTTCACGCCCGGCCATGTGGCTACACGTGAGATCAGAACCGCAGCCAGAAAGTCCCCTCAGCACGTGGCTGTCGCTAAACACACAAAAGGCTCTCGAGACAGGTGAACAAACTGTTTTGGAAAGGCTCGTCGGGTTCTAGCCTGACCGCGTGACCCACAGTTTCTCTCTTACCATCGGGGGTCCCCATGGACACACACGGTATGTGGAAATCTGTGCTGTTGAGTCTAAGACAGTGCTATGTTCAGGTTTCTGGCTAATCATCAGAAAATTAGATTTCTGCATGGAAAATGAGCGCTTGAGGCCCAATCTTCACAAGATAAAAGTGTTGAAACGTCTTTGGGGGTTAGTGAGAAGATGGAGCGGAATGCTCAGATATGGAGATGTCCTTAATCAAACGTAACCTGTGTTAGTTACAGTGTTTCTTTTCTGTGCACTGAAGGAGTTGTCTCCAGATCAGTGACATGTCTCGTCTTCAAGCACTGACTCAATTCTTCTGTAGCAGAGACCGTCCACTGGCTGCTCATAGGTGTCCTAAGTTATAAAGTCTCTGGATGCTCGGCTCCGCCGGAGAGCATGGTTGTGTGGATGAATAGTGTGGATTGGGTTTGGCTGTGTTATAATGACCCGTTCCTCCTCCATGTCCCGGTTTGTAATATCATCTGAGTTCTCGGTTCCATTAGAGATTCCCAGCTTGCACTATTTAATGAGACCTGGCTTATTTACACAGCGATATCTCTGTCACCAGCAGCCACGTCAGACTCTCCGTAAAATAACCAGGATGGGGGCAAACGGCAGCTTTAGAACACGACTTGTTTGCACAGTTCCCTTCATGAGTCTGCATTACTTCTCTTAAGTTCCTGTCCCTAGGAAATTTCCACTCCGCCGCGACATACCATCTTAGGATGCAAATGAAATGTGTCGTGTAAGATTCAGAGTTGGTAGTACTAATATGAATTGCTCTCTGATGGAAATGAGACTTCACACCATAGATGATTCCATGCTCTGAGAAACACATCATGATTTTATAGGTGAGACAGATTCTCCACTGATTGTATGTGGTCTGAAGCGCCATTCAAATTTCTTGTTTTGAAGCAGCTTTCTTTTTGGAAAAAAATAATAGCAAAATAGATTTAATGTAGCATTTGCAGCAACTCAGATGTTGGCTTCTTAAAAATTCTAGAAGAGGGGACTGGGGAAGGTGGCTCAGTGGCAGAGCGCTTGCCTTGCATGCATGAGGCACCACATACGCAGAAAAAGCCGGAAGTGGCGCTGTGGCTCAAGTGGTAGAGCGCTCGCCTTGAGCTGAAGAGCTGAGGGACAGCGCCCAGGCCCAGAGTTCAGGCCCCCGACCACCACCGACAACAACAAAAATTCTAAAAGAGCCAGGTGCTGGTGGCTCACACCTGTCATCCCAGCTACTCAGGAGGCTGAGATCTGAGGACTGTGGTTCAAAACCAGCCTGGCCAGGAAAGCCCAGGAGACTCTTATCTCCAATGAAACACCAGAAAAATCTGGAAGTGGAGCTGTGGCTCAAGTGTAGAGTATTAGCTTTGAGCACAAAAGCTCAGAGACAGTGTTCAGGGCCTGCACACACACACACACACACACACACACACACACACCAATTGTAGAAGAAAAGACTTCTCTAGCATCATTTTGGAGGTCTCCAGGTTAAAAAGAAAAAGCAGCATGTTTTCTTGAGGAGAGCCTGGGTCTCCTCTCTTCAATGGAATGCATTCACACTGGCCACAAGGAAAACCCAACCCAGGCCTCTGCTGGCTGATGCTGCTGTGAGGCAGGAAATAGAAAGGATCAAAGCTGTTAGACTTCACCCTGTGGAGGCCAGGAAACAGCATTTCCCAGCCCAGGCTCCCATGCTTACAAATACACATCAAAGACGGAGAGGGTCTACGCAGACTTAGCAGGGCAGTTTGCTAACTCGGGCAGGGCAGCCCGCTTGGACTGAGCAGACTGCCCCAGGCCTCATCCTAAGAGGCCAACATTCCAGGCACAGAGCGCCCGATCTGCACCTGAAGGCTGATCGTAGCAGTCCCCTCCTCATGTGGATGACGTGGCACCGCTGCCCGGCTGCAGGACGGACTCCAGCCACGCGTCCCCCAGAGGCCCTGCCCGACGGAGCTTATTCTGCCTGCAGAATACGCTGCAGTGTACCTTGATGAACAGACCCTCTGGGAAGAGGACGTGTGTGGGCCCGCGAAGTCACAAACACAGGAAGTCTTCATCCGTCATGAGTGACTGGGCTTACTCAAGGCAGCAGGGGAAGCTCTTGAGGGGTGGCCTTTCTCTTTGAGCTGGAACCGTTAAAGGTGAGCAAAGCCCGGCCCTCCTCCAGAGGGGAAAAGCTGTCTTACTAAACGGTGGGAGTCTAGAATTACAGGAATGACAGGAAGTGGACATGTTTGTGCTCACCTCTACCCTGCTGCAGGCCTCTTCCCAAAATTACATACAGGAGGCTGTGTCCTTGGCATAGTGAATATCACCCAGCGAACACAAGGCCGTGGGTATCAGTATTTCAGTCAAGTATTTGGGTTGGCGCTCTACTACTTGGGCCACATCTCCAGCAGCCTGAGTGGAATGTTTAAATTCTAATCTTGGCTTATTCCCAAAAGCCATCTGTGGGTGAGCTTTCTTGATGGCTCACACCCACAGGCCGCAAAATCTTAAAATAACAGTCATATAGGAATGTACACAGAGATAAAGAGAGATCTGCCCTTTGTACTATTTTTATATGATAAATGAGAGCAGAGCTAACTCCACTTGCTTACATACAGACTTCCTTTATTACCACGCTGAGGAACTATCAATTTACCATAATGGGGAGCCTGTATATTATTAAGTTCCTTGATATGTGTCTCCTAATTTGGTTTCCTTTATAGACCCCAAGTCTCCTGTATGCATAACACTGCATATTAATGTAACAAATTCACACACACACCAGAGTTGGAACGCATCGCCAAATTATTATATTATATTTAACTAGAATTTTTTAAAAATTAAGTGCTGGGAACTAGCACCATAGGCCACTCTAAACAAATGGTTCAAGACAGAGAACTAACTGCCCATTAGAGGCAAAATACACCCTCCTGCAGATTTCCTTGTCCTCACCACAACGATCTTGGTTCATATGAACACCAGAGGGCTGTTTAGAAGAATATTAAACTTCTCTTTTCTTCTCTTCCTTTCTTTTCTTGTTGTTATCTTTCTGAAAACGCTCTTTCCCAATGCTACCCACAGTGTTAATTCCTATTAACATTTCAGTACATTTTTCTAAATGTGCTTTTAGAAAAGGTTTCCTTTTAGCTTTCAAAATCCAGGTCTTGTATTTTTTATTTTTAAACCATAGTATGTATGACCACTTTCTGATTTTATTAGCTAGTCCTGAGAATTATTTCAAGGACTAAAAAATGCAGAGCCCTGGGAAGGAAGACTACCCAAATTAATCATTTAAATTTGTTATTAGATAAATTGAACTGGAATGATCTGAGAGAATTATAAATGATACCGAGGTTGGCGCATCTGAATCTGTGATTATTTTCTTAGGCTAGATTCCTAACTGTGGGATTAAGGAGTCAAAGGGTAGAACAATTTGTAAAGCCACCGCCACTGCCAAATTGCTTTCCAGTAAGGTTGCTCTCATTTAAACACCAGCAATGCCATTCATTCTTTCCTTGGTGATTTTCCAATCTGTTTCTTATTAGTCTGGGATTACTTTTTCTTTTCTTTCTTTCTTTCTTTTTTTTTTTTTTGGAGGATGCCTGATCCTGTATTACAATTTCTGTCTGGATTCCAGAAACTCATTTCTGTGCAGGCAGGAAGATGTTCACCTCTCTTCCTTCAGGAGAATGCATCACAACTCGGGCTGCGCCCATGTGTCCTGTCTTTGCTCGTACCCAAGTGTGTACTCACATATCTGCCCGGCCCACAGGGTGTGAGCAGTATTGCTGCCGTCTGTAAGCCCGGCGCAATGCTCTCTCTTGTCCCCGGAGATGACCGGCGATAGGCTAGAGGTTTTCCTTTCTTCTCATTTTTTCTTTTAAGTAATCCTATCAGGTTCATGATGAATAGAAAGTCCTGTGAGATCGTGGCTTTACACGGCGCATCCTTTGGAGGTTTCGGTGGGACTGGAGCACTCGTCTCTCTTGTTGGGGTGGGGAAGGGGGGGAGGTGGGAAATGAGCAGTGGCCATTCCGGGCTGCTGACCAGATGCCGTTTTGAACCGAAGTCAGAAAGAACAAAGGAGACTGGCTCTAACTAGCACCAGCTTGGCCACATGGTGGATGTTAGGGAACTGGGTTTAACTGGTACCATCTTGTCTTCCTGGTTGAAAGCAGGAAGTTCCGCCGCCAGGGGTGGTGGGCATGCCTGAAGTCCGAGAGGCAGGGGAGGGGACGGTGGTAGGTTACTGGACCTGTCAGTCCTGTGCTTTGAACTCACCAGACTCTGGAGCTTCCTGCAAGCCTGGCCCTA